TGAGGGGCAAGGTTTTGAAGAGATTATACATGTTGTCTTCAACAAGATTAGTGACGTGCACAAGTGAAAGTGTGTAAGGTCTATGGGTAAAAATTGAAACCATGCAAATGACTCGCGCAATAAGGTAGCATTTGTAGAATGCAAGAAATGTGGGGAAGAGTGTGTGGCTTTTCAAGTTGATTCATTAGTAGGGAGAAGTGAAATTTACATGGGAAAACAAGCGTTGAAGATCAAACGTATGGGAGAAAGTTCATAAGCAAGAATAGCAATTGCTTGGGGAGAAAAACTGAAAAAGCAATTTATTGACATACTAAGTCGTGCAAGATTTACTATTTTCTTATTAGAAAATTAAATCGTTTAGATTGCAAAGATTGTAAAAGTTATTCCGAGTGAAAATTTATGTACTCAACATCGATTACTAGTTTTGGATTTTAAGATAAAGGGGCATAAAATAAAAAATAAAGTAAAACAATTTTCTAGGATTAGATGGGGGCATTTAAAGAATATTAACAAAAATATTTTTGGAGATAAGATTTTAGATCGTAAGATTTTGTCTGTGCATGAGGATGCTAATATTATGTGGGAAAAAGTGGCTAGTGATGTTAAGAATATTGCAAAAGATGTCCTTGGAGTATCAAAGGGAAAAGCTCCTAATAGTAAAAATAGTTGGTGGTGGAATCCTAATGTGAAAGAAAAGATAAAAAATAAGAAGCTTTGTTATAAAGTAAAACAATTTTCTAGGATTAGATGGGGGCATTTAAAGAATATTAACAAAAATATTTTTGGAGATAAGATTTTAGATCGTAAGATTTTGTCTGTGCATGAGGATGCTAATATTATGTGGGAAAAAGTGGCTAGTGATGTTAAGAATATTGCAAAAGATGTCCTTGGAGTATCAAAGGGAAAAGCTCCTAATAGTAAAAATAGTTGGTGGTGGAATCCTAATGTGCAAGAAAAGATTAAAAATAAGAAGATTTGTTATAAAAATTGGTTTAATTTTAAAAATTATGATAATTGGGAAATATATAAAGTGGGATTGCTCATCTAGTCCTTAAGCTATTTACTTTGGGAATTTTTTTGTGATTATTTGGATGTGCATATCTATATTCAAGATATGGTATTATGAATATAAATCACTTTAAAAGCCTTGCACCAAAATTTACCACTCACACTAGCATAATACATCATTATAGTTTAACATTTTGTGGAGCATGTAGGTACAACATATCAATCTTTTTTAAATTAAGCATAAACATAACTGAAATTTTGTATGTCATTATATCATTTGTTTTTCTTGTGTCATTGTGATAGATTAAAAAATTCTCTTAGAAAGCTTAGAATCTTGGTTTGTTGGTGATCTTGGGACAGAGCAAGATTATGATTAATCACTAATCAGATTGTTCATGATCGTGATTAGTGCATCAAAATGTGAAGATATCTAAGGGATTATGGATTTTAAATTTTTTATGTTTTGATCTCTTGATGTAGTTCTTGAAAAGAAAGGAGTCAATAATGCTTATATTCAAATCATTAAAGATATGTATGCAGGAGCTATTACTTGTGTTCAAACACAAGGTGGATTGACCAAGTATTTCCCTATTTCGGTTGGGTTACATCAAGGATCAGCCTTAAGCCCATATCTTTTTGCTTTAGTCATGGATGTTCTCACTAGACATTTGCAAGAGGATGTACCTTGGTGTATGCTTTTTGCTGATGATATTCTTCTTATTGATAAGACAGAGAGGGAGTTGAAGGTAAACTTGAATTATGGAGGTCAACCTTAGAGTCTAAAGATTTTCGCTTGAGTAGATCTAAAACGGAATATTTGGAGTGTAATTTTAGTAGTAATAGACATAGTGAGGAGATTGTGACTTTGGGCGATCAAGTTATTAATAAGAGTACACGTTTTAGATATCTTGGATCAATTGTTCAGAGTGATGGTGAAATAGATGGAGATATTATTAGCAGAATTCAAGTTGGATGGTTGAAGTGGAGTAATGCATCGGGCTTGTTATGTGATAGAAATGTACCACTCAAACTTAAGGGAAAATTCTATAAGATGGTAGTGAGGCCTCCAAAGCTTTATGGTGCCGAATGTTGGCCATTAAAAGAGAAGCATAATACTAAGTTAAGTGTGACAAAGATGAGAATGCTCAGGTGGATGAGTGGCTTTACCCTTAGAGATAGGATACGAAATGAGCATATACGTGAAAAGGTTGGAGTAGCTCCAGTAAAAGATAAGATTAGAGAGAGTCGCCTTAGATGGTTTGGTCACATAAAACGGCGGTCTTTCGATGACCCGGTTAGGAGAGTAGAAGTATTAGATTTGACTTATGTTAAGAAAGGTAGGGGTAGACCTAAAAAGACTTGGTTAAAAAATATTTGGAATGACCTTTCTTTATTAGGTTTAAACGAGAATTTGACTTTTAATAGGACACAATGGAGAAAAAGGATTCATGTAGCCGACCCCACGTAGTGGGATAAAGGTTTGATGTTGTTGTTGTTGTTGTTGTACTAAGTCGTGCAAGATGGATGGCATGATGGCTAGCAATAGATGAGAGAGACATAGGAGAGCAGAAGCAAAGTATGCACAAAACTATTGAAGGTGAAACTTAGATGGGATATGGGAGCATAGCATAATTTGGGAGTGGGAATCTAGCGAGAAAGAGTGTGGGACTCGATATATAGGATGGGAGAAGGCACGGGCATTGGAAGACATAGATGTGGGTTGCCCAAGAGTATATAAGCCATTGAGGACGTAGAGGTGAGGGACTGAGAGAAGTGTGTTGAAGTGAGAGGAGCATTGGTCCTAAGAGCCAAATCACAGAGAGCATAGGAGTGTCTGCTAAAGCAGGAGAGCAAGAGAGGGACCATTTAACTTTCTAGAATACAAGTGGTAATTGACCAAAAAGTGGGAGATCGGGAGCAAAATGCATAGAAATAAAAAGGTAGCAAGCCGGTGGGAGGTTACTATGGTGAGGCTTACAATAGAAAAGGGTTTAAATTTATAGTTTTTTATCATTTAAAGTGGTTTAAATATTTAAAAACAAATCTATGGAATGATCATAGTGCATTATATAGTTTGAGACATTTTTTGGTCTATCATTAAATGTCAACATATTATTAAGTGTTAATTACATGTCATGGATTTATTTAAATTAAATAAGCCCCTAACATAATTATATATTTCAAGGGATCAACATTAATTATTACATAATTAAGCCTAAGAATGACCATGAAAGCTTAATCAAACAAAATATAGAAATCCTGCATAGGTTAATTGAGACCTAATTAGGTTAAGAAAGGCATTGGCAAAGCTACCTCGAGCCCAAAATTTTGCAATCAAAGACTCAATTGTATGAATTAGGCAAGCCTAGTTGAGCCTCATATTGATGAACCAAGGTCTTGGCTAAGTTAGCTATCAATCAGTCAATGAGCATGAGAGGAATTAGCCCTAACTTTTGGGTAAAAATAAATTATGTTTGAGAATATTGAAGCTAGTGCTACAAAAATACCTCATGGATTAACAAACCATCAAACATGTTGGTGTTTGGCCCCACCCACCAACTATTTTAACTGAGCTTTTAACCCCTGCGTGTCTATTGTGGATGGTCTAAACCCCACTTTCAAAAGTGAAATTCATATGGTAATATAGTTCTATGTGAACTCAATACCCATAAAAATGTTGAGTCTACCTAGGATTTCCCTTGGCATTATTGATTGATTCCGAACTTCGAAATTTAACTACGTTGTTGTGACTGAATATTATGATAATAGCACCGATTATTAAAATTGTATGCTTACATTGTACATTTACATGGAGGGTTGATGCTTTAATTTGCAAGTGATGTTACTAGCTTGGCTTATTATTGCAAGGGATATCATTCATGTCTAATGTTGATATGTATATCCTTGCATATTGAATGCATGTTCATTAGTAAAAAAGACAGATTATAAGAAGAATTTGTATAAACTTATCCTTGGCTGCCAAAGGATAACTTCTATTAATTTGTTGTTTGTCAAACCCTTTATTAACATTAATCCATTATTTTCAAAATAATGATGGAAATTTAGTTTAAATTGATTTTGACCATAAGATTATAGCATGGGTATGCAGAAAAAGCAAATGAGATAATGTTAATGATTTTGTATAACTTATTCTTGGCTATAATGGTTAGGGTAGGATAAATGTTAGTATTTTGTTGTTGCCCATCCATTTGTTATAAATAATTCATTATTTTGGATAAATAGTTTAGTTTAGTATTAATCAGATGATAATAACAAAGACATGATGCAAAAGAAAATGAGATAATGTTAATGATTTTGTACCATTTATTATAATTAATTCATTATTTTGGATAAATAGTTTAGTTTAACATTGATGAGATGATAATAACAAGAATATAATGCAAAAGCATCTAAGATAATGTTTTTATATAAACATATCCATGGTCCATATGATTAGGGTAGGATAACTCCTATTAATTTTTCACCTTTTCACCCTTTATTATCATAAATTTACTATTTTCAAAATGATGAAAGCAAAATAGTTTAGGAATTTGGATCATAATATTATAATAGAGGTATAGAACAAACACATGTGGCATAACATTAATAATTAAATATTATTTCTAAGTATGTGTTGTGTAGTCGATACCAAGGCAGAACAATAATCATGCTTCCCCAAATTCACCTCTTTTCTTATTCCCTTTTGTTGACATATTTATATATAAATATTAACCTAAAAACCTTATATATTTTCCTATGATATAAAAGGAAGTTTTTGACAAAAGAAGAATATTATGAGCAACTTCAATAAAATAAAAAACATTCAACTGATGGATTAATCACCAAAATACAAAGAAAACTAATTCTGAATTTTTCTTCTAATATTATTTTTCGTTAATATAGCCAAGATAAAGTAAACCCTCAGAGAAAGACAATGGAAAAGTCCAAAGAATTAATAACTTGAGAAAAATAAAGTGGTTGCAAGGTATTACCTTTAAGGTTCCAATTGCTAGACCTTCTAAATGCCTTATCCCAAGAACACGAAGACGAGCATAATCCCCTTGCTTAAACTTCTTCTTCAACTTAAGAACCTCTTCATCAGATACATCAAATCGCTATCCAAAATCAAAATAAAAATAAAAATTGAATGCAATGATAAAGCTCCAAGTAAAGTTAAGATAAATAATAGATTGGACCAACATAATCATAAGATGAACATACAAGTACATATGCGGGAGTATGCTCAGGAGCAGAAGGAATATTTAGAAGAAGACCAAAATTCTCATCAATCCTCAAAATACAGGACTTCTCATAAATTTCTCCAGTTTTGACATGCTAAACAAGGCAGGATAATGTTAGTAAAAGAAAATTGTAACAAAACGATTTGATAAACTTGAAACCTATAAACAAAATGCAAAGGCAGCATAAAATATTACAACATGGCAGGATAATAAACACCAAACAATATAAATAAGCAACAAAAAATAAGCATTTCTGACCATTGGAGGTGCCTTGTAATGAACAAGGTGAGGATTCAAGGTTAGTCCAACTGCTCTTGTTGAAGGGTCAATAAATAATACTCGAGCATTTACCTAAATAAATAAATCAAAAGAAGAATTATTAAAATGCAAAAGAAAACATGAAATGACATCATTATCACAGAATATTGAGAAAGTCATTAGTATATCAGCTACTACAAGTATAGAGAAAAGATAAGTGCATTAAAATACTAAAATCTATAGGATTATGTACAATATATGTAACACAAACCACTCAGCTTAGAACTTATATAATTAATAAATTATTCAACTCATTCCACATTTACAATGTATGACAATAAACCACAGAAATAGAACTCAAATTTGGAATCAATTATTCAACTCATAACACATGCATAATGCATGAAAATACAACAAAAATTACATTATTTTGTCGACAGATGACACTCGAACTTTTGGCATAAAAATACATTTTTTGTCATTAACAGTTTCAAAATTTTCGAAGCTGCGGTATAGAGATTTGTATGATCTGAAGCAACGGAGACCATGGACAATGGTTTTGGTTTTTATTGAGCATCTACTCTTCAAAATAATTAATTCAAAATGTAAGGTAAAAGCCCGAGGTGTTCAACTGCGTCAAACTTCCTGCCAATACAAGGTCTAGACCTTTTCAAGTCTTTAGGCTGATTAACATCATAAAAGTTGAATAAGTGAGTAGGCACTTTGAAAGAACAAAATCATGATCTTTAATGACATCTTATTTCACCATCATCATCAGTAATATACCAACTATTTAGGGACAATTTTATAAATCCTCGTTTCCATTTGTTACTTCTGAATTTTGCATGTGTGATGTTAAATGCATGGTCTTCTCAAATATTTTTCAATAGCTTCTATCTATGTTACTTCAATTTTATTCCTTTTTTCTTCGTAATCCTTAGACACAACTTTTATCTATCAATCTCATGGGTGCATTTTTCTACCCTTTAAATTTTAACAACTTCAAAAGACCTTAGTTTATTTTCAAACACATTATCTTTTATGATGATATTAGATAGTATCATAAAAGAATCCTACATATTTGTTACACAATTTATGATAATTAATGTGGATCAAGTAATTTGATTTATGTTAGAATGAATGGCATAGAAAAAGTTCTTAACATGTTGATATATGAAAATCACAGGACTTAAAAACTTATTAGTATGTTTTACTTTCATGTATAATGTTTTACTTTCATGTATATATATTTAGTTGCAATAATTGTGGACCCTCTATATTTAATTGAATTGGGGACAATGATTTCAATTGACACTATCTAGAGTTATTTCATACTCGAAGATCATGTAAGGGTAAATGTGTTATCGTATCTCCAAGGATCTTTCAATATATAGGAGCTATAATTTATTTTATGATGACTAATACAAATTTAAAGACTTTTCCCCTTTATGATCCCCTTAGTTGATATGTGCATGTGTGCTATATACATCCCTCATGATTGCTAAGTGCTTCCAAGATCCATAATATGTGCTACAATCAACTGCAAACTGAGTGCAACAAGGTTTCTATTGTATGTCTTTAGGTTTCCTCAATTATCCATCTCCACCATTGGGTCATCTTGAATTGCATTTCATTCTGTTCTATTTCACCATCACTTTAGTATCCAAGTATGAATGGGTTCTTTGGATTTCAACTTGTTTAGAAGCTGAAATTGTTCCTCTTATAATTTTTAATATTTTTTTAATGATTTTCTTATCAAACCTCCTCAAAGTTTGGCCAAATTTGGATACAATATTCCTAAAACAATGATCTAATCCCTCATAATTTTTTATATTATTTTTAAGTTGATTTGATTTCCAAATCAGCTAATTCAAGTTCCAGCTTCACCAATTATTTTTTTCCAATTATTTATCTCCAATATTTTGACCATAACTTTCTCATGTCTCAGCCATTTTTAAGAGAAAGAAATCTTTTTTTGTGGAAGTCCTCTACAACTTTCATTTTCATGCGTTAATGTATAAATCAATACTTGATGCACTAAATTATGACCTCATCTGATAACAACAAAGTAAGCCACTTTAGCCAAATCAATTCAAACTCCACCAAATCGGCTAACCAAGCTCAAACTCGCCCTAAAACTAGCAACCCAAGCTCCTGATTGACTCCAACTTCTAGTCAAACATGATCAAAAACCCACCCTAAAACCAGCTACCCAAGCTCCTGATTGACTCCAACATCTAGTCAAACATGATCAACACTTGGTCAATTTATCAAACCTCATTAATCTATAATTCCAACTTTCAAGTAATTCTTCATCTTCTGAAGCCATCTAATTATCTGTAAGTGTTTGAGCATCATTCATTCCCTTGCACTTAATGCCTAACCCCTTTCATTCTTCCTTTCCGGTGGATCATTCCCTTTTGGTTCAAGTCAAAAATTAATCAGATTCACTATCCTTCCCACTCTGCATCCATTCTCTTCAACTCCATCTCTTATATATCACACATCATCCCCAGCCTTGCTTGACAAATGCCCACTCCCCTCCTCTCTCTCCAATAGTGATGCAAGCAAAAATTTGGAAAAGCCCCAAATTTTTGCAAGCAAAAACAAAACCTTCCTAGGTAATAGAAGTCCAAAAACTAGACAAAATACAAAAAATAAACCAAAAATAACTTTACTTTTATAATATAAAAGGACTTACAAACTTTGACGCTTACAAACGACACAAACATTAACATAAACTCCTAAAGCTGCTTGCCAAATGTTGAGAAGAAAGATACAAGTGACGTCGAACTTGCGGATAGAAGGAGATTAGAAGCCAGGATGAAGAAGACATAACTCGCAAATTATCCTAGAAGGAGAAAGGAATACATAGCTCGCAAGCTATCAAACAAAATCCAAAGGTTTTCTTCCAAAAATTACTTTCATCAACTCCTCAAAAACTCTAATTTCTAACATTATATCAACCTCCTAATGCTTCAAAACATCTCTAATTTATAAGAAAAAAGAGGGCATCCAAACAGCCATTAAACATATTAAATATCTTAATTAAAAACAGGAAATGGAAGGCCAAAAGCCAGCCCAAAACAGCACCCAAACAGCCAAATAAAAGCCACGGTACAACCATCAAAATAGGGGAACTAAAGGGGCCAAAACAAAGAACCTGGACAGCAGCACAAGGAGAAACCGGAACAGCACCTAGGGACCGAAACGGAACAGGCAACAAAAGAACCGGGACAGCAGCCACAAGGGGATCTGAACGGACAGCCAGCAAAAGGGAAGTAACCAGCCACAGGAAAAAGGAGCCAAGTGGGGGAAACCGAAGAGCCACAGAGAAGGGGAGAAGAACCACATTCACTCCTCATAATGAGCTAAAAAGTAGGAGAACTAACCAATATAATGAGCTGAAATCACAACTCAACATTTATGAGCTAGAACCACTTAGTTCTCAAAAAATCAGCTCAAAACCAAAGCAGCCAAGGACCAAACCGAGAGGCAACCAGCAGCCCAAAGTCTGCCAAATTTATGTTTTGATTTGACCCCCCCACCCTTGCCTACATCAATTCTCTCCCACTTGAAAAAGCTCATCTCCCGATGAGATTGCTTTAGATTTGATCTGAGGAGATGAAGAAAGCACATCAAGCTCTTGAATCTTGTCTTCGTATTTCTTCAAAATCTTCTCACGTTCTTGCTTGAATTGATCTTGCAGACGCTTCTTTTTCTTCAAATATTTTTCGTACTCATATGCAACCACGACTGAAGTTTGTATAGTTCATTCTGTAGGGGATGTTGAACTTCCTTCCGTCGAAACCCATCTGTCCATTGAAATAATTTCTTCGATATCTTGGTACTAATTTTCATCCACCACTGGATCACTATTTTTATCTTTTTTCCATTTTTTCTAAAAAGACTCAACAAACTTTAAATCACTTGATAACAAGACTCACACAACAACTGATATGACTCACCAAGACTCACTCGATAAACCTGCTCTGATATCAAATTGATGCAAGCAAAAAATTAAAGCCTTCCTAGGAAATAGAAAATGACACAAAATACTTAAAACTAGACAACATACAACAAATAAACCAAAAATAACTTTACTTTTATAATATAAAAGGACTTACAAACTTTGACGCTTACAAACGACCAAAACTTAATCATTAACATAAACTCTTAAAGCTGCTTTCTTCGATTGAGAAGAAGGATACAAGTGGCATCGATCTTGCGAAGAAAAGAAAGGGGTTAGAAGACCAAGACGAAGAAAGGACAAGCTCGCAAGCTTTCCTAGAGGAAGATGAAGAGGTGGAACAAGCTCGCAAGCTTTTCCAAGAAAGAAGAAAAACCTCTCAGATTTTTTGCTCCAAAAATCACATTATATCAACCTTTTTTTGACAAAAAACACCACATATGTATAGGAAAGAAAGGGGAGCCAAACAGCCAACTTCAACCTTTAAACAAACCAATCATGTAAGGGGAAGAGGAAGGGCAGCAAATATCACAAAACAGTTCTCAAAAATCAGCACAAGAAACGGGTAAGAGAAGCCACGGGAACACAGTCAAGGAGAGAAACCAAAAAGCCCACACAGGGAATCGAAACCAACACCCAGCAGCAAGTCACGGGAACAGCACAAGGGAAAAACGAGGAGACACAAGAAGGGGAAGAGGACAAGGTTCCAAACTCTTTCACTCATATTAATGAGCTAACATTAGTTCAAGCATTAATGAGCTATCACCAAGAAGATCCCAAGATTTCAGCTCAAAACCAAAGCAACCAAAGCCCAACCCGAGAGAAGCCAAGGTCCAAACCGAGAGGCAACAAGCAGCCCAAAGCTTGCCTACATCAAATAGCAATCCATATGGCCTATTCCTATAAGTCGTATTACTCTTCCATAGGATACTACAATTCATTTGACAAATATGTTCCACCTCATTACTTCAATCGCTTCCTTCAACCTTCTTAATTCAAAGGATGCTAAGATTCATGTGGTGATTATGTTCCTCTGGATACTTGAATTGCTCTCCTCAATCTTATTCTAATTTTTTGTCTTAGCTCTAGTGTTCCTTGTTCTCGGGCTAGATTTCCAGCAATA